GCTGGAGTGGTGCGTTCCCCAAGACAAGGGACCCTGCCATGGCATGCACAGGTGTGCCTGTCTGGAAAGGGCTGGAGTGGCATGTTCCCCTCGATGAGGGACCCCGTGCCATTCTCCACAGGTGTGCCTGTCTGGAAAGGGCTGTAGCAGCATGTCCCCTGTGACAAGGGACCCTGCAATAGTGTCCACAGGTTTGCCTGTCTGGAATTGGGTGGATCAGCATGTGCCCTGCAATGAGAGATGCCACGATGGTGTCCACAGCTGTGCCTTTCTGGAGCGGGCTGTATTGGCTTGTTTCCCACAAGGAGGGACTCCATGATGGTGTCCACAGTTTTGCCAGTCTGAAATGGGGTGGATTGGTGTGTTCCCCATAAGGAGAGACACCATGACGGCATCCACATGTGCACCTCTATTTAAGGGGCTGGATCGGCGTGTTCCATGTGATGAGTGACCCAATGATGTCATCCACAGGTGTGCTTGTCTGGAAAGGGTGGGACTGGCATGTTCCCTGTGATCAGGGACCCCGGGATGGCATCCAGACTTGTGCTGGTCTGGAACGTTCTGGAGCAGTGTGCTCCCCACAATGAGGGAAGAAATGTCAACAGCCACAAGTTTGTCTTTCTGGAATGGGCTGGAGCGGCATGTTCCCTACAAAGAGGAACCACGCGTCGGTGTCCACAGTTTTGCCTGTCTGGAATGGGCTGGATCGGCATATTGCCATGTCGAGGGACCCCATGATGGTGTCCACAGGTGTGCATGTCTGGAACAGGCTGGATCATCATGTTCTCCTTGATAGGGGACACTGTGATGGAGTTCACAGGTGTGCCTGTCTGGAATGGTGTGGTTTGGTATGTTCCCCGTGATAAGAGATGCCACAACATCATCCAAAGATGTGCCTGTGTGGAATGGGCTGTACTGGCTCTTTATGACAAGAGAACCCATGATGGCATCCACAGGTGTGCCTATGTAGAATGGGCAGGTGCAGAGTTTTCCCTGTGTCAAAGGACCCTGTGACCACTTCACCAGGTGTGCCTGTGTGTAATGTCCTAGATAGGCATGTTTTGTGGGGCGAGGTCTCATGTAATGGCGTCCACATGTGTCCCTGTCTGGACTGAGATGGATCGGCAGGTTATCCACAATGAGGAACCCCATGAGGGTGTCCAAAGGTGTGCCTGTCTGGAACAGGCTGGAGCAGCATGTTCCCCATGATGAAGGATCCCAAAATGGCATCCACAGGTCTGCCTGTCTGGAACTAGTACAGTGGCGTGTTCCCTGTGAAGAGGGACCGTGTGACCATGTCCACAAGTGTGTCAGTCTGGAATGGGCCAGAGTGGCATATTCCATGTGACAAGGAACTCTGCAATGGTGTCTACA